GGGAGCATAAGCTTATGCTCCCAATACTTCTGTTAGTCTTAAAGGTGCCACAGGACCCTCTGTTGCTTTTTACAAAACCTTTAAATCACTGAAGTACCAGAGCTAATGGATTGCTAATGTAGCTTAGTGCTGAGTTCTGTGTGTGGTTTTTAAAGGAATAACTAGGGTGAATGAATCTTCAAAAAGAGAATGAGTGTTCATTGGAAAGCAACACGTCAATCCAAAAGAAAGTTAAGGTGTATCTATACAGAAAAAGATTCCTGGGTCCATGTGTAGTAGGGGGCTTGAAGAGGGAAATTGCATGACTGAGAATCAACATTGGAATGTGGAGCTTTTAATCTGACATTTGATTTGTATCTTGGTCTGTGGACACATAGAATATGGTATATAGTAGGTGAAAATATTTAATCATTTTGCAAGAAAGGTGTTTCCAATTTTATTAAAATAAATCTTATAATGTTGGGTTTTCCTAGACCATTATGTTGGCTGTTCTTAGGAGTGTCGGAGAGAGCTGGGTGACTTTTTTCCCCAAAAAAGTTTGATGAAATTTTGAAACTAAAAAAGAAAAAAAAAGCAGAAAAGAGGAGAAAAATAATATTAAAAAAAAATCAGCTCAAGTGTTGATAGTGATGAGACTACTATCCAAAATGATAGTGCAAGATTTTTCTATTGCTGCACAACGGCATAATCATTGTATTTCTTCTAGAAGCATCTGATTAATTAAAGTACTGGTTATCCTCACAAACTAGAGAAATTTACCATATTGTTCTACATAATAAAAGTCAATGCTTATCTTCTTACCTGGCCACCAATTCATTGTTTATACTGAGTCTTAATGTACATTGAAACACACAAAAACCCCTGCTCTGTTTAACAAGAGCGAAGGTCGTTGACGGAGAATAGCCGCTAATACAAACTCTAAAATAACAAAGAAATGGCCAGTGAAGGCAAAATCTGTTTTCTGTAATCCACCTACATTAACTCCCTCCTCAACATTCCTACTGCTCCATCCAGCAGCTACAACACACCAGACCCACAGCCTCACACTCCACAAACACGCAATCTTAACCACAACCGTGTATTTGCGTAGTGTGCAAGGGTGCTGGAACAATTTCTATAGTGGGGGTGCTGAGAGCCATTGAATCAAACTGTAAATCTTGTATTTAATGGAATCCACTTCAAGCCAGGGGGTGCAGTAGCATCCCAAGTACCCTTAGTTACAGTACCTATGTTAGTGTGATGCCATAGGTGTGATATGTTGTATATGGGGGGTGGAATAATAGGAATGTACAATAGGTGGATTACATAAAATTGATTTTGCTTTTACTCAGTATTTCCTTGTTGTTTCAATTTGTACTAATAGATATTCCCCTTCTGTAACCTGAAGTCATAGTTTAAAAAGAGTGGGTTGTTTGATCTGACATACACTCGTGTAGCAGTATACAATGTTTTGCCTCTAATATGTTAGAAAAATGTGTATTATAGGGTGAATAATATGTAATTAGAGAGTATCCTAATGGATTTGCACAAGGGCAGGAAAGTTTGAGATTTGGATGTACTCTCTTATATATGTGAGAACTAGTTTTGCTCAAATGCTCCAAAAATAATTCACTTTAAGGCCTAGATCAAGCAAGTTTATCACAGCCTGGTAGGTGAAAGGTATAAGCAAATGATAACTGGGTATTAGAATGGAAATGCTTGTGTAACTTCAAGTGTGTTAAGCATGTCTGCTACCATACACTGTGTGTGTGTGTTTCTACGTTAACATCACTGGAATACTAAGAACTAATGGAACAGCTGGGAGCATCAGTGAATGGAACTGCATATCGTACACCTAAGTAGTGGGACAAAGAAGGAAAAGGATAGGGACATGGTAAGCAGGGCCGGCTTGACTGTTTTTGCAGCCCCAAGCAGCGCGCCGAATTGCCGCTGTGGACAGCAGGGGCAGTCCGTGCGCCGTTAGGGTGGCACGCACATTTCCGCGGCGGGGCAATTCGGCGGCAGAATTGCCGCCGCCGTGGAAACGTGCGTGCCGCCCTAACGGCGCACAGACTGCCCCCCGCCGTCCGCAGCGGCAATTCGGCGCGCTCCTTGGGGGCAAAAATGCAGGGACTGACGCCCCTTGCAGATTGCCGCCCCAAGCACTTGCTTGGAAGGCTGGTGCCTGGAGCCGGCCCTGATGGTAAGGAACTAGAAGTGAGGGAAATGCTAAAGGGCTTAGTCTCCGTTCTCAAGATTTCTTTGTTTCCTAATAGGTAATCCTTTGGAGATTGTGTCAAGATGTAGAACTCTGCTCCCTGGACTATAAGCACATCTCCTGATTGAAGCAGTGTAATGAAAACAAAATTCACTTTGCTTTATGGTAAGATCAAAAAGACTTTGGACTCTCTTGAATTGCTTGGATCAGTGTTAAAAGCAAAAAGGTGTAAAATATGTTAGATGTGTATATAACATTGTAGTGACACGAGGCTGCATTCATCACGTAGCAGTAAAATTTAAAAAAAACCACAATTTTACCCAAAGACATTTGCTCCTACAAACATTAATTTACATGTATCTGAATGATGTAAATAATTAAGAACAATGTAGGCTCAGATGCAAGTTTTTAGAAATGCGTCTTTTTTATTTTCATATTGATCTGTCTGCCTTTTTAACACTGTGGCTGTATGTTGCTACTCTGTTTGAAACATGCTGCATCTCGATGTCAACCTGCATGATAAAGGTCTTGTCTAATGAGCTGTTTAGAAGTGAAAATGAAGCACTTTTTATCTGAGAGATGTCTTTGCTCAAGGGCCCCATTTTTACAAGGCAGTTTAGAGGCAGATTCTGTGGCAGAATTCCACAGCTATATGTGGGCTTTGTAACTTACTAAAAGGACAAAATAATGCATTCCCAACAGTTGTTCCAAAAATCCCTGTGTATGTGGTACTTGTTCTAATGCACACCAGGAATGTTTAAACCTTGTCTGTGTTGCCGGCCCAGAGGGCCCGAGGGGGGCAACAGGGTTCATTGCCCGGTGTGCGTTGCACCAATAGACACACCAGGGTGGAGAAGCAAACCAAATTTATTCAAGAGCTCTGAATAGGCACTAGGAGACCAGCATGTCTCAAATCAAGCGCAGCAAATACAAGCAAGTGTCCCATTTTATATTCCAAGCTGTTTGTGTGTAAGCCTTTGTTCTGTCCTCCCTTACCCCTCCCTTCCCAACAGCAGGCATTGCATTGTGGCGTATTAGAAAAGTTCTCGTCCGCATGCTTATCTTCGACCTCGCAAGCTCTATGTAGTAAGCCTTTTCCTCCTCCTTTTTCCCCGTTATCACTACTGCTTCTGCTAGTGTGAGCGAAACTGCAGCTGTCTGCTAAAAAGCTGACCATTACATATTCTGCTTCTAGGCTGTTAGCATGTAGGTGGGTTAAGGTTCACAAGATGGAGTTACTGTGGCTCACTTAGACCCAGAGCAGGGGGGTTTCATCGGCACTTATGGCCTTCTACTCCCCTGAGTTACCTGGTAGCTATGCCTAGTGACGCCAACATCTGCATGGAAGCAGGCCGTTTAAGGAAGCTGTATCCATGTTCTAAACATCTATCAATAGGGCTGGCTCCAGGGTCTTTGCCGCCCCAAGCAGCCAAAAAAAAAAAAAGCCGCAATCGCAATCTGCTCTACCACCGCCGCCGCTTCAGTCTGCAGCGGCAATTCGGCGGCTGGCCCTTCACTCCTAGAGGGAGCGAGGGACTTGCCGCTGAAGAGCCGGACGTGCCGCCCCTCTCCCTTGGCCGCCCCAAGCACCTGCTTGCTGGGCTGGTGCCTGGCGCTGGCCCTGCTTATCAAGCACAATTATACTAACTAGAATGGTGATGTGCCCCGTTGCAGACCGCACTTGGCTAAAGCGATCTGCTAAACTTTGGCTCCAGTCTTCCCTAGTACTGTCTCTTAATGTGATTATAACACAGGTCGTAACACTTTTGAACATGGACACAATTGTGTTACAACTTAAGTAACCCTGTTTGAAAGCTGTTTCCAACAAGTTTTTTTTTCTCTTTTTGGGTGGCAAGGGGTGTAGTGGGGGCAGAACCACTTAAAAATAAATAAATTGTTCTCCTTATCTGGTCCCCATAGCCATAGTATCTGAATCCAAAGGTCAGTAAAGCTGTGAACATGTTGTTCCATTTTTTTTCTGGTTAACAATGAATACATTGGGAACACATAGGGTGACTGGACAGCAAGTGTGAAAAATTGGGACGGGGGTGGAGGATAATAGGCGCCTATATAAGAAAAACCCTGAACATCGGGACTGTCCCTATAAAATTGGGAGATCTGGTCACCCTAGGAACACGGGACCAAATTTAGAGGTAATATAATGAGGTTACAGGTAAAGAATAACTTGCTATAAGTAAATGTAAGTTGTAATAATTTCTTGTGTTTCGGGGGGCAGAAAGGTGTGGTGTATTGAAAATGGTGTTAAAATTGTAGGCTGTCACTTTACATTTCTGGGGTGGGATTCCTGATCCGGCTTGCAGGCTATGGGACTCTGTAGGGAAGTGAGTGATTTGGGCCTAGCAACAGCTATCAGCCTTCAGAGAGTCAGAATGGAGTGATTTTGTGCCTCTCTGTTTTTGGGATCAACCTGCTTTTGTCTCTATCTTGTGGTTCTTGTTTATTGCTCTGAATTCTAAGATACAATATAAAGAAGCATTATGCCTCAACCTTCCTGCAGGAATATGTGTTTTTAATCTAACTTCTCTTGTATGTGCCATGAACATAGCAAATTGCAGTGCTGTAGCAGGAGGGTATAATATAAGTATAGTTAATCAGCCTCCCATTTTATCTTACAAGCTCATGTTGGTTGTTTTTTCCCTGATACAATCTTTCTGGCTGTGCCACCAGCAAGTGTGCATCTGTGATGGGTTGGATCCCAGAGAACCCCTTGGGAACTGCCAACTGATGTGCTGAGACTACCTCTGAGCCCGTTTTCCCTGCCAGCTTAGCACTTCAGTGCACTGCCTGGTATGAGCCAGACACGCTTGTCTGCTGCAAACCCAGACCCAGGTCTGAACCATGTCCCTCAAAAGCTGCAGGCTTAACTGAAAACAGCTTAAGAAGTGTTCCTGTCTCCAACACACAGATGCCCAGTTTCCAATGGGGTCCAAACCCCAAATAAATCCGTTTTACCCTGTATAAAGCTTATACAGGATAAACTCAAATTGTTTACCCCCTATAACACTGATAGAGAGAGATGCACAGCTGTTTGCCTCCCCAGGTATTAATACATACTCTGGGTTAATTAATAAGTAAAAAGTTATTTTATTAAATACAGAAAGTAGGATTTAATTGGTTCCAAGTATTAGCAGACAGAACAAAGTGAATTACCAAACAAAATAAAATAAAACATGCATGTCTAAACCTAATACAGTAAGAAAACCGAATACAGATACAACCTCACCCTCAGATGTTTAAATAAGCTTCTATCACAGACTGGACGCCTTCCTAGTCTGGGCACAATCCTTTCCCCTGGCTCAGCCCTTGTTCCAGCTCAGGTGGTAGCTAGGGGATTTCTCATGATGGCAGCCCCTTTGTTCTGTTTCACCCCCTTATATAGCTTTGCAGAAGGCAGGAATCCTTTGTCCCTCTCTAGGTTCCTACTCCTCCTTCTAAATGGAAAAGCACCATGTTAAAGATGGATAGCAATTCAGGTGACATGATCACATGTCACTGTAAGTGCTGTTCTACACTGGGGGGGGATCGATCCAAGATACGCAATTTCAGCTACGCGAATAGCGTAGCTGAAGTCGAAGTATCTTGGATCGAATTACCTGGGGTCCAGACGGCGCGGGATCAATGGCCGCGGCTCCCCCGTCGACTGCGCTACCGCCGCTCGCTCTGGTGGAGTTCCAGAGTCGATGGTGAGCGCGTTCGGGGATCGATATATCGCATCTTAACGAGACGCGATATATCGATCCCGGATAAATCAATTGCTACCCACCGATATGGCGGGTAATGAAGACATACCCTAAGACTCCAAGCCTCCATTCCTCCCAGCCTGACTAACAGGAAGGCCTGCAAGCAAACAGAGCCATCCACAGTCAATGGTCCTGGTTGATGGGAGCCATCAAGATTCCAAACCACCATTAATGGCCCACACTTGGCATAATTACAATAGGCCCCCAGAGTTATATTTCATATTTCTAGTTTCAGATACAAGAATGATACATACATACATACAAATAGGATGACCACACTCAGTAGATCATAAGCTTTGTAATGATACCTTACAAGAGACCTTTTGCATGAAGCAAATTCCAGTTACATTGTATTCACACTCATTAGCATATTTTCATAAAAGCATATAGAGTGCAACGTCACCGCACAAACTCAAGCTCTTATGATGACTTCATGACATGTAATTTTCACCATTGTTTACATTATTTCTGAAAGTGGACCATATTTTGTTTTGATGCTATGGACTTACAGAAAAGGAGCTAAATAAAAACAGACTGAGTTACTGAAGTCAGTGGGAGCAGGAAATGCTCAGCATCTTGGAAAATCAGTTTGATTGTTTAGGTGCCCCAGTGATATTGGTGCTTGACTTCAGGCACTCAGGTTTGGAATGTTAGCCAAAATAAATACATTTCCCCCCATTAAATTGCTCATAGGAGTCCCTCACACCTAAGGAGAGAGCACCAGGTATAATGATGAAAGTGAATGGTCTCTTATCTTTTGAAGCAAAACTGTATAGAGGTCCACAAAACATTAAAAATAACATAAAATAGCAAATTATTTGACATCAACTTAATTCTATGGCAGTCTATGAAAAATAGAAGCAATGTATCTCAATGGTAGGGGTGATGGTGGAGTTAGATTTTCCTACCACTTAATGATAAAAATATTTCTGCGTATATGTGAAAAATTCTTGAAGAATTAAACGTCAGTGTAAAAAATCACCCTTGTTCTAA